ACGTGACATACGACTCTGTTGAGGACTGCACACGAGTGACGAGTTCTTTTCGCGCTTCCATTAGGTGACCGGACGGGTCCCCAAAGATGTCGCGTAGTCTCTCCCTGAAGGTATCCCAGCTGGTGAGCTCAGTCTCATGGGCGTCAAACCAAACCCGTGGGGTGCCGTCCAAGTAAAATATCACGTTGGCGAGCATCATGGTAGGGTCCCATCGGTGTGTCTGGCTAACATGCTCGTACATGCAGAGCCAGTAGTCAATGCCAAGCCCAGGTTGTGCAGAGAATGTACCGGGATCATGGGGGGTAGGCATCGTCAGGTATGTAGTGGCTGGAGCTACAGATGGAGACGCTGACGGGCTGTTGTCATTGGTAGCCATGGCCGGAGACTGAACGGTGCGGCCACTGCAAAGCTTCGTGGTGAAGACGGGAAACGTTCCCCCTCCATTAAATACGTTATGGAAAAGAAGAGACGCCGTATCGCCGAGGCTGGGGATTAGATATATTCAAAACCAGCAGTAATGGCGTGACCAGTTCACCAGCGATCGAGCGGAGACAGCCCTTCGTCTTCCTCGTCAGGCACACATGCGCGTTGCCCCCTAGAACATCAATATACATGAATGTAGCAATATCACTGAGAGGGATATTTCAATTGGCCAGTTTGCCTTCGTGACGATATGGGTTATAACTTAACCGAAGACTTGTCACCAAGAATAAATACTGTGAGCATACAAAACAGGCCAAAAGGGAGGAAAAGCTTTTGATCGTTAGGAGGAAGGCTCAATACAAGCAGCGCGTTCGATGCTCTCCGTTCTTAACAGAAAATTGCAGAGTGACAAACAGGGTTGCTAGACCTTCTTTTTGAACCCACTAACTCTGGAGCAGGAGCTCACATCCCACCCCCTAGAAGTCCAAGTCCACTTGGAAAAAGAAAAAAAACTAATCCGGCATTCCACCTTCCCTCAGAAGTCCAAGTCCACCTGGAAAAAAAAAAAAAAACTAGTCTTGTGTCGATAGGTCGAAGTCCTGCAGATGTCGAGGTTGAGTACAATGACGCTGGGGTCGTCGACTTGGAAGTTGGGCTGAGGCTTCATGTGCGCATGAAGGTATGGTGTGTACGTCAACAAGACAGTGGGGTCATAAGCTGGGACATGTGCTTCTGAAGGGGCCTCATCCGAGTTTGGAGTAGGTGTCATGACAATAGAGGGTGGAGGTTCTGTCTCGTGTGGGAACTGGTCTTCATTGCTGCTCTGTCCTGATGACTTGGCTGTCATATGTCAATTTCTTGTCCGGGGGTTCTGTGTGTGTGCTTGCTTTCTTGGAACTATACTTGGGACTGTGCATCTGCCAGTCTTTTTTGTGCTTGTGCTTCTTGCGCCGTTTCTTGCAGTTGGAAGAGCCCAATGTTGGGCCACTCTTTTGGACTTTGAGGTAGTCTTACCACCGTTCGAAAAGTGAGACTGGGAAGTGGACTACAAGGCATTGGGTGACTGTGTTGACCACTCTTTCTTCGTGCAGTCTTTATGTACCTTACAGGGCACATTGGCAGGGGCCGGCTTTGACATTTGTGCACAAAATGCAAAGAAGCAAGTTGAGGGAGGAACTTGCTAGGGTACGTATGTAGGCGATTGCTCCATGGAGGACACCACTGTGACGGGGACTGCAAGTGACGGGTGCACTAAGGCCGCCATTGGATGTGGCACTGTCAGTATCGCGCAACAGTTTGACAGCACTGAAGCATATTTGCTAGGCTGCGCAACAGTGATTCCGTTGAGTTGCTCCTCGCAGACCTTTAAGGACTGCAATGTTTTTGGGATGGTGACGCACACCTGGCAAGTCACCTCTGCATTCTGGGACACTGGCGGAAGATGAGCTAGTGGCACTGCCTGTGCGAATGCTTTGTTTTCTTGCACACTTTTCTTGTTCCACTTAAGAGTGGTCAGCAGCTACAGTGTCTGTTTTGTCGTCAATCTTAGACAGCGAATAGTCAGTGGCAAGGTCCGTGCCATACGCTTCGCTAGGATGCAGTCCAAGCAAATTTCTGTAGCTGTGCTGTGAGGGCTAGCGCATGCACAAAGGTTTGCAAAGGGGTAGCATTTCTGGGGTAGCATTTCTGGGATAGCAGCGTTCTGGAGCGGCGATGAACGTGGCACCTCTGAAGGCAATGGGCTGGAAGAGCTTGTCTGAAATGGGCTTGTGGGACACGATGTTTGGAGATGAACAAGGGCAGTTTTGTTGAGCTAGCTCCACAGGGGTTTCTTCTCGTCAGGCTCATACTCGACTTGCTGGCTCTGCTTTTGACAGCAAGGGGTCAGAACGTGACAATGCAGACGTCGTCAAAATCGCTGAAGGCAGATCGTTCAGGCACACCGGAGTTTCTGCTGACGACGAGCAAAGGTGGTTTGGTCCCCGGCTCAAATCTAAGGTTTGATGCTAAGGTTTGATCCAGGTTTGATCCAGGTGATGCTAAGGCTTGATCTAAGGTTTGATCCTTGACATCCGTGTCTATAAACAGTGGTCGTGAGACCAGAAACTTTATCGCATGAAAACATACTGGAATGAACGACAATGCTTTTGCAAGGGACAAATAGCATGCGGTGCTTGATTGTGCACATTCTTTCAGACGACAAATTCACACTCAAGGACAATTATCATTTTTGGCACATGCATGCTGCTGAGCTCATCTTTGGTGAAAAAAAAAAACATCAATCTTGAACTTGTTGACAATCTACTTTGTACGGTGAGAAATATTACAAATATATGAAATCACCATCAGCCTCATACCCTTTCCTGATATTGCATTACAGAGTTGTGCTTGAACATTGTAAACTTTGTTCATAACTTTACTATTGCAGAAACAATGGCATCCGGCTGCATGTTTAATATGTTGAACTTGAGATAAAAGGCTGGAGGACGTATTGTAGACTTGGAGCAGAAAAAATGGTGTTAACATTGATGCCAGAATTTACAATTTCGAATGACAGGAATAATAGGTGAGCAAGGGCTTCCTGATAATTCCCAGCAAATGTGGTCTTCATTAAATGTCAGAGACAAATTCAGAAACTGAATAGTTTTTTTCAACAAAACCTTCACAGGCCTTGTCGACTTCTTTGAGCCATTTCACAATGTCAATTATGTGGTGTGTAAAATTGCCCCTTTTTAGCCCAACCAAATAATCATTCACGTAGCGAAAAATCTTCATCACCATGCCTCCCAAATCATTAGTCACATGATTGTCAATGCCGCTAAGAAAAATATTCCATAGTACCAGACCTACCCGAAACCCAATAAAGATTCCCGATCACCGTATATACACTTCAGCGTTCCATCCAACCAAAGAGAAGGACAAATAATATTTAAGCAGCTCTAGAAAGGTTTGAGAGCTGACACATACTGTTGATGTGGCTCTGAAAGCTTTCATCATTCTTATCTTTGATGTGGCTTCATCATTCTTATCTTTGATGCGAGCCTTCACAGACGTCTAGTACTCGTGAAGAATGTAATGAAATAACTCAACATCAATGCTAAAAGCCATACACTTCTTCAGTTCTTCTGTATTACAAATATTTCGCTATACAAACCCCTAATGAGAAAAGGGTCATTAAGCGAAAGAGAGCTGAGATGCTTTTAAAGAAAACCAGACATCTTATACTGCCAGCTGTGACGTTCAGTCACAATAAGATGAAACGATAAAATAGTCTTGGGTGTCCTTGCTGTGAAAAAAGGCCTTAAGAACACTTCTTTAGTTTTTATGCTGCATTGATAAGACGATCTGAGTGCCACGACCAGCTTCCTAAGCAGCGTGCGTGGGATAAGTCCTGAAGAGACATTTATTTATTTTATTTACAACGTACTGCGGTCTTGAAAAGACCAAGCAGGAGAGGCACAAAAATTAAGTGGAAAACACACGTAAGCGTGATAGATGAATGATGTGCACAAAATACAGAAGATAAGTACATTATACAGAGATATATAGATGAGCTTAAACACAGGTTAATACGACCTTCAGAACAACAACATATTCTTGCTTATCACGCTGTGCTTCAAGTCCAAACTGTTCTCTGTCCCTCTGTCCGTCTAGCCGCTTACGTTTGGGTGTTCTCGTGTTCTCTTAACTTGGCATAAACGCAAATTATTATGGGAGGGTAAGATAGCTTGATGAATATGGTGCGCTGGTCAGGACATGAACAATGTCACAATCTCATCGCATATGTCGTCAAACACTTCCCACCAGACAGTGCCACGCGCATGCTCATTCTCCAAGGCTCGCACAGTTACTGGACTTGTCTTTGAAATTTATAGAGCACCACGTTTGCTGGGAGTTTTCCACCAGGCCCAGATAGCCCTTGCTCAGCTATTCCTCATGTCATTCCAAAACTGTAAAATCTAACACCGCTGTTAGCACCATTTTTTTCTTTCCCAGCGAAGTCTTGTGTCCAAAATATGTCCTCCACTTTTTTATCTCAAGTTCAACGTCTGGAACATGCAGCCTTCTTTTGTGATGCCATTGTTTACACAACAATAAAATTTTGAACAGTTAAAGATGCTTGAGTTGACCGGCAAAACATGAGAAAGGCCTTTGTCCTACAGTGGACATAGTCAGGCTGATGATGATGATGCTCAAGCAAAACAGCATAATGCAAATTCAGAAAAGGGTAAGAGGCTAGCAGTGATTCCATATAGTCATGGTATTTCTCACCATATTGTTGAAAAGTTAAATGTTGATGTTTAATTTTCCACCAAAAATAAGCTCAACAGCCTTTCGTTGCATCACATGAGTAGATGTGTTTAGAGAAGGTGCAATAAAGTTACAAGTGTCATTTCCATAGGTTGTGTGTGCATGTCTTGTTCTTTATCTGTTTCACTTGAATAAACCGACCATTTGTTTGAGTCAGAACTTTCTTTGTGCTGCACCTTTGTGAGGACACGGGTGTTTTTGCCTTTTGTCCGGGTGCCTTGCTGAATGCGCAATTTGCAATGCAGAGCAGCACCCGAAGTACTCACCCGAACTTCCTGCAAGATTGCCTCGACCGTGGACTCCAGGGCACGAGTTCCACGCGCATGCTCGTCCTCCACAGCTCGAACAGTCTTGAGTAGCGATGTTACATTAGTCACCATCACCTGGGCACAAGTATCACCAGCCAAGTCACGACACTCAAGAAGAAACACTGCCACAACAAAAAAGCAAACACTGAAAAGGGGAGTACAAGTTGGTGCACTCTTCATCTTCCCCTTGCGACAATATCACACTTCCTTCAAAAATGGCTGTTGGCATTCCATTACAAAAAGCACACATCTATAGGAGGAAGAAAACTAGACATCTGACAACCAATCTTGGAGGTTAACGAGAGCTGGCAAGGAGTTAGTGTACAACTAGAGGGGGGCCATGTTGTCGTGCCATGCAAACACACAGCAAGCAGCAAAACTTCAAGGGTGACCTTTTGTGTCAGTGCTGCTCCAATGGCTCGACACCCATGGATGGTGCCGCGCAAATGACCCGAGTCGACAACATATTTTTTTTTTCACATCAGTAAAGCAACACGTTTATTTGTCTGCGCTATTCGAGTGAGAGCAAGCAGATTAGCTCCTCTTCCTGATCGGAGGCTGGCCCTTCGATGTCCAGTGTGTCCGCCACCTGCCGGGAGCAGAGGAAGCCTGCCTCAGCCAACCCCATAATAGAACTACACTTGGCAATAACTTTTCTTGAGAGCACTGAAAAGCATGCCCGCCATAAAGCAGTACTTAAGTTTACTGATAACTTTTTTATTTGGCTTGCTAAAATAAAGACTGTTTATTTAATTATGACACTCAAACAGCTGCAGAAAGTCATAGATAAAATACAGTTTGCAGGAATGCAGTCTTACAAATGTAGTGGGCCAGTGTGTGGCCGCAAACACGCTGTTTAGTTCTCCAAGAAAAATATACTCACAATGTGGCATTAAAAAGTACACTGAACCATCTAAATGTTTCTCTTATGCCCAATTTCATGTGCATAAATTTTTAAATGTGTTAAAGTTGTATGGGAGCAAAACGTAAATCAGCCGCAAGCTGCCATACTACTTGCAGAGCAATACCAATGTGCAGAAGCCTTTGCTCCAATGTCAAGATAAGTTGTCGCCGAGTATCATGTATTTCTTCGACAGTCACCACACAAAGCCAAGCTGCCCCACAATTCAATTTTAATCCTTTGCAGACAAAAACAAATGAACAAAGTGTGATTAAACTAGCCTTGCCTTAAATTTTTTGGCATAAGAACGCTTTCAGATGAAAAATGCTGTAAAGAAATGGCGGCAATGGTACGGTGGTGCGCTCTTCAAATCAAGGTGGATTCCAACATTTCAAAAAATTTTATTCCCGCAAGTTCATCTTAAATTTATACAAGTTTTACCTAAAAAGAAATGCTTAAATCACTCTCACAAAACCTTTGTTGCACAGTGCGTGCAACCAAAGTTCTTTCTTTATTACTGAGGTTGTTGCTGCAGCGTCCTTGTTTTTGGGTGCCAGAATTACCCGAGTCCATGCATGAAGTTTAGAGACCTTTTCACTAAAGGCTCCCTGAGCGCTGTGCCACCATAAGCTTCTCTGGGCTGTTGTTAACATGTGTGAGCCCCCCAAAAATACTGTGCTGAGACTGTGACATCGAATTTTGTGCTCCCGTGTGCAACAGCCAACAAAGGAGGCGATCCTTCTCTCCTTTAAAAAAGGTCTATAGAACTATAGAACGCTGCATGGTGGAAGGACAAGCTTCACTGCCATGCCACGAAAAGTGTAATAGGGCTAAGTATACCTATAGAAGTTGTGTGTAGGATTCAGTTGTTTTATTTAAGATGTGGACTAAGTGACAAAACACATACACCCTAATTTTTTGAGTAGTCTAGCCAAAGCGACTATTCTGATTCGGAGAGCTCTGACGAACGCGTTGAGGAAGAGTTATAATACCACTCACTGTTGGGCTAGTTTGTGCACTGCATCAAGAAAATACATCCAGCCAAAGGTCAAAACACAGAAAACTGTGAAGGAAACAGAAAACTGGCTAGCCAACAAATGCCCCTCAAGTCAGGCCGATGATTAGAATAAAATCTTTCCATTCAATATCAATGTGTTCACGAAGACATTCAACAACTGCTGTAATGATGATGAGCACCTTGTAGTAGAACGGTCGGAAAGCAGAGGTAACAGAAATAATGAGCACAAGGATAACCACATTGATTATAGCGATAATGAACGATGATGATGAACATGCTGAGGCAGAGCTGTTAGCAAGCAAACGTACCATGAGTGATGAAAGTGCTGAATATGGTGATGAAGGCATTATGATGATGACAGTGATTAAGATGTTGAAACAGAGCTGTCTGGAGGTAAAATTCACATTTATTATAAAAAATGATGAACTGGTGTTCCGAATGTCTATCCTAAATACTTAGACATTTGATTTTTTCTGCACATAAATCTAAATTTCCCTGCTTTCAAGGTTTTTTTCGTATTTTGACTGTAATGTTGTAATGTTATTGCATATATGCGAAAACAATTTTACTTGTACAATCAGATTCACAATCACATGCAAGGGGTTGAAGTGCGCAGCCATTTGCTTAGTTGGGTTAGTCAAATAACAGTAACTACAGCAGGAGCTTCTTAGTGTATATAAAATAAAGGCAATCTCTGGGCGCTCTATCACACAAGCACGGTGACTCACAGAGCTCAGAAAGTCTTGCACAACAATGTTACACAGCGCACCTTGGTAGGGTGACATTCTAGTTCATTGCTGCCATTAAGTATTTTCTAATGTCGCTCCAGAAAAGCAGTCCTTTTTATCACTTTGATGATTTCCACTCAGTGATGATCCCCAAATTTTCGCATATTTGTGCTCTGCCCAGTTGTTGCTGTTCTCTTCATGTTAAGGAGTTGTCAAAGAGCATGCTCAGACTCAACAGTAGTACTGGCCATGCCCGACAGACATTGTGGACTGTGTGCAGGTCACATGTACCAACATCAACACACTGCACAGGGTAGTTCTCATGCAAGTCTGCTTGCAGAGACCTTAATAAATCAGCATTAGGTCCATCCATTGAAATTTGAACCACCTTTCCAAGTGGTAAAGGTTTAAGAACTTTAACAATTCTTCCTGGATATCGTCAGTAGTCGCATGTCATATGCGAGATATCTTGTTGCGACATTGTGCAAGGAATTCCAGTATCTCACATGTACGGCCATTTGTTTCTGCTCAAAAATTTCAATGAAAGATACAGCAAAAAGAACAACATTGCAGTACCTCAGGCTGCAAAGCTGACGGAAATATAAGCCCAGGCACGCTATGCAAAAGCATTTCTTCTCTCTGCAGCAAAAAGCTCCTAACATAGACTAATCACACTGTCAGAAAACATTTGCCTGAAGAGATCTGCAGCTTGTGCCTGTATAAATAATGACTAGTAACCACTTTCAGAGTTTAGAATCTGTGGCCATGTCATGGCTCTTACAAGCTCCACCCAAATGCATTGCTTGCGATGAAACCGTGTGGGGAGGAAGGGTCCTTCATGTGAGCTAAAACGCGAGTGTTCTGGCGTTAGGTCAAGGTGCTGCGCTTTCCACCACTGCCTCCATTGCGCTACTGTGTTTAGCACTCCTCATCGGGCTCTTGTATGTCGACTCGCCCTTTGCCGCAATGTCAAATGTTTTCCACATGCATGTGGCTCAAGGAGGATCGGTCATGTTCAACGTAATCCACTCGCTGTAGCAGTCATTGCTAAGCTGCTCAGCTTACAATTTACGCTGTCCTCAGCATTATGCCAGTGTTTTGCAATTGATGGCGCTTACATAAAAGGACTGAAGTTCACTTTGGATTATTTGCTGTATACAGGCGTCCACACAACACGTGCACAAGATACTACACAAAGAATGCCATGCATTATTAATACAACATAAAATACACACAACAGAACACAGATTGGAATAATGTCAAAGTTGCCAACAGCTATATAGGAATCTACAATCCACAAGTTGTCAATGCTTGTGTAAAAAAACAAAAACAATACAGCCTGGAAGCCAATTCAGAGTTCCATTTGTGTGTCTTAGAAATAGAACTTTTGGTGTCTGGCAGTAGTAGTCTGCTTGTTTGTTTTTTATTCTAGCTGCAATGCCACATGAAAATGGGTTGTGAATTCCCAGCTTGAAATTGAGTTTCCAGCCTGGATTTTAGCTGGAAACTGCTATTCAGGCGGGGAATTTCCTATTCCCAGCCGGAAATGCCATTTCCGGCTGGGAATTGAACCCATCACAGGCTGAGAAAAGTATTTCCAGGCTGGAAATAAAAATTATTCCCGACTGGACAGCCATTTTCACCTGGGAATATTGCCACGTTCTAAACGAAGGCGACATTTATAAAGAGGGTATACACAAGGTCTAAGTCGCGCAAGAGTGGTCGGCACAGAAAAGCCAAAACAAAGGCACGAGCACAAAGACTACCACATCTTCGTCTGCCTCTTTCACGCTGACAGATAAAGTGCATGGCATTACCCCTCCTCCCAAAAGAGCATCGCCTTGGTGCTATATGATGCGCTTGTGGTAAACAAACAGAAACATAATGTCCGTGAAACGTTCAGAGTCACAATTTGTGGTATGGTTTTAAGCGCACTATGTGCACAATCTCCAGCCGTAGTTGTAGGCATTGTGGTGGTTGGCTGCTGCCCAGAAGGACTTCATAGTTGCGGTCACTCACTTGTTGTAGCACCTTGCCCAGGCCGAAATAGTGGCTGAGAAGTTTGTCAGAAAGGCTTTTGCGGTGAACGGGGGTTCAAACTAGCACTTGGTCAACCGGTTGGTAGTTGACTTGTCTGTGGCAAAGGTTGTAGCATTGTGTGTTAATATCTTGTTGATTTGTTATGTTCATACAGGCCAGTTGGCCCGCTTCTTCAGGTCGTTAAACAAAGGACTCGGCATCTTCATCAAGATTGTCAAGTTTGTCCATGTTGCATGGTAGCATGGCGTCTAACATTGTCTGCACATCATAACGGTATAGAATACGAAACGACGTGAAGCGTGTAATCTCTTGCGTAGCGGTACTGTATGCAAATGTTACGTAAGAGAGTACCTCATCTCATGTCCTGTGTTGTACGTCTATGTACAGA